AATGAGCTGCTGGTGTGTGTTAGCAGCTGCCATTAGGCTACTTCACGCAGACACACTAAAATGACAGGAACTGTTCATCCCTTTAATGTTAAAATGGAGTCAGTCAAAGATGGAGCGACTCAAGAAGAAGTGACAACACGTAGAATACAACAGGACGTCTCTGAATGGTTATTTGATGAATTTATGTGCTGATGTGGAGTTAACTAGCGTTAACTTCAATTAGGATATTCTGTCATGTATAGTCTATAAATCACTTGGACTGTTGTGAGAACAGGAACTGTTGTGAGAAGCCCACAGAGTGACTTTCTATTGCATGTGAAAAGATGGATGCTAAAGTTTGAGCTGACTCACAAATGTACTCTTATGCTACGTTCACACCGGACGCGAATCGCGCGTCAAATTCGCGCCTGACGCGTCTAGTTTGACGCTTGACCACTTTGTGTTATTTCGCGTGTCAAGAGCGAAACTGATGCGCGTAAAAACAAAAGTTTGAAGCGAAATTTACGCACGTCAGAATCGAAATCCGTTGGCGGCCATTGTTTTTATGTCGACCGAGCATTCATCAAGAGAGTTACCGCTCTATATTTACTCTGGAGAGCAGAACAGCGGCGTGGGGATCATCGTCGCCGTATATTTGTGTCCACCGGACCCTTCGGAGCCGAACCGTTTGGCGAGTTTCACCATTTGCGCTGGAAGGCCGCTGTCAGCGGTACTCCGCCTGTCACGCGCCCAGTTTGATGACATGTTGTCCTGCTTCGGAGCGAGGATCACCCTCGCCCTCATCCATCGAATCTAGTTGTCATTTATTTTTGTTTTGATGATAAATAGAGCCAGCCTTCAAAAGTTATTAACCTGTCCTGTGATTTTTTTCTCTCTCTCAAATCCAGACACGATTTTATGCACATATGTTGATTGTCTTTACAACATAATACTATTTTATAATCTATGGAATGAATAACATTCAATACAAAATGAACATGTCTCGTATAAAGAAATATCGCGCCATTCGCGCGAACGAGGCGTATTCGCGTCTTCCGCGCCGCGCTCCACGGCTCATTCGCGCCGCAGGAATTTTTCACGCGCGTAAAGCGTCTTTGCATTGACTTAACATTGAAATCATTCGCGCCTGACGCCCTATTCGCGTCCGGTGTGAACGTAGCATTATACAACCACTCTTCCTCTTCTCAACATGGACTGCTTGTTCCCGGGGGCGGGGTTTCTGTACATTTTAGGGTTGCTGATGTCACTAACCCTTGAGGAATGTCATGTAGTCCTTACCAGCCATCTGTTTTAGTCCTTTTCTTTAAAAGCAAATATCTTCCCTTGCTTTGAACTTTGAGCTTTGTAACTTTGATCATGTTAATTGTTTATGCTCAAACAGCAACATTACACACTAACTAAAGTTAGAAAAGTGAAATCGTACTTTACCACCCCTTTAATGTCTTAAGTGAACGTTTACAGCCAAGACTGAGAAAGAAAACGAGTGTATAACAGTATGTTAGATACATGCAGTTCTTAAAGTGACAGCAGCCTAATAACCCTACAGCTGTCTTTTTGTCCTTAATGTTCATCTAACAACTAAACACAAAAATAAATCACCCACTGCTCTTGCCTGAATAAGTTTTGCAACTTTGGTAAGGCTTAATCAGATTTAATACTATGCAGTGTTATTTTACATTTTGATTCCTGTTTTCAATTTCTGTCACAGCATGAAAAGAGGTGTAGTTTTCGGACTTGTAAACCTCTGTATACACCGGAAGTCTCCACAAATACTCTCCATGTATCAAACCACTTCCGTAATGATATCAGTTGGGACAACTTGCAACAGCCATTTGTTGCCATGGCAAGGAATCTCCTCAAAGATTTTGTCAGGGGACATTTTCACACCTAAACCAGGAATTGGGCCACAGACTTTCCTCAAAAGTAATTTCATTGCTCAACTTAAAATGTATCCCACCTAAAACCCTTACAGCAAAGCGACTTCATTAATTACAATTAAAATGTACCCCTCCCAAAACGCCAATGGTGAATGTTTTGATTGGTTTTCTGTAAAATATACCCCTCCCAAAACCCACAGGTGAGTGATTGGATTGGTTGCAGGCCAGGTGGGGAGGGCAGACCAAAAAAAAAAAAGTTTAACCAATAATTGATTGTTTGTCTTTATTGGGGAAAATAGTCAATTGTATTTAAGACATAAAAAACACAATTTCAACAGAAAACAACATTTAAAAATACAACATCTACTTTGAATGAAAGATTTCAAACAAAGGCAGTGAATAATAACACATGAGATGATGTGTCCAATCAGTCTTCACTGTAGCTCATGCATGAACCAACATCACATCTTCCTCATCTCACATTGAGCTCCACCATTTCTGTCTTCCACAATGCTCTTTCTGTATTTGTCTTTGTTGACCTCTTCTCCAACAACTGCAAAATAACAGTTATGTAACCACCATTGACAATACTACAGCCTATTTAAAAAAAGTTGCATCATGTCAACTTTTAAACTTGCTGAACCTTTCCGGAAACGAATACCTTACAGCCTCATTATAAATCTGGTAGGATACCTGAAAGGCAGCAAATATGTTTAGTAACAGAATATTTAATTGGATAGGTTGAACAATGCAAAAATAGATATTACAGTTGTTTTTTATTCGCTTTGGTACTATTTTCACAAGGTGTACATTTTCAAATTTCTCAGTAGCCTACAAAAATTCTAAACATTCTTTCAACACCTGATGTAATGCTTTCAGTCAGTTTCACGTTTTCAGTCCACATGATGGTTTCAAACACAATATTATTGGAATATGCATTGAGAACATTTGGTTTATGTAATCACTGAAACACAACAGTGTGATCTTCTTTCAGTTTATTACTTACTGAATACTACTTACTTACTGACACGTCCCCCCCACATTTCAAAATCTAAACAGTAATGTAAATGCTAAATGCCCTAATACATGTTGATACTACAACAATGCAAAGTATATGCTCTTAACCTTGCAATTTTGTCAGGTAAGCCTCAATTTCTCCATTTCTTTGCACAAAACTCTCCAGAAAGTGTCATTTAATGGTTTATACCCCCGGACCCCCCTTGCATTTAATGTCCCCTCAGGTTCAGAATTGCTCCTACGGGGCGTGTTTTTAACAATCAGTTCATCTAACAGCACACAATGCAAGATAAATGTTTCATATCGGCCTTAGTAATGCTGAAATTAATGTGCTACAGTGAAAAACAGATTACACCGGTTTCACATTAAGCAATACACTTACATTACCCAAAAATGACATTAACCAACATTTACATAATCTATAGTTTCCAAATTATCTATCCTATGTGTAATCAAGTGAAGGACCAATGAAGACATCCTCTACAATTTTTCAGATATAATTGTAATGCTTTCTATAATAAAATATAACTAAATGAGAACAAAACAACATTTAGTGCACACATTACATTATTTTGGATCAAGCATTTGTCTTGAGCATTTTAGGCGTGACGAATCCATGCTTGACATTGGTCTACACTGATGTCATCAGATGCATCATCCATGGCTTGAAGGAGGGTGGCACGCTCAAGGGGTCGGCGATCATAGACCTTTGACTTCTATGCTGAATAACATTTTTCAATAGTGTTGAGGAGAGTATGGAGGCAGGTCGAGGGTCATGAATCGGGGATGGGCCTGAAACCATGTTTGAACTACCTCTGCGTGGTGGAACCTGACATTGTCCCACACAGGTCGGCTCAATTTTATTGAGAAATTCAATAAGATGTGCAGCATTACAGGAGCCAAGTAATGGCCTACGACACCATGTTTAAAGATATCTGCGCACATAGAGATGTTTCCTCCACGTTGTCCAGGCACTTGGACAGTGGCCCGTTGACTTGTGATGGGTCACATCAGCGTTAAAGGGTTAGTTCACCCAAAAATGAAAATTAAGTCATTAATTACTCACCCCCATGCTGTACCAACCCCGTAAGACCTTCGTTCGTCTTTGGAACACAAATGAAGATATTTTTGATTAAATTTGAGAGCTGTATAACTACCACATTGGCTCCTAAGGGACTGCCTCTTGACGGCCCAGAAAGTCAATGAAGAAAATGTTGAAATATCCCAAGTGACTACCGTGGCTCAACTATATGTTTATCAAGCGACGAGAATACTTTTTGTGCGAAAAAACAAACAAAAATAACGAGTTTATTCGACTATTTCTTTTCTTCCTTGTAGGCCAGAAACGAGACTTCCTTAGATTTCCACGACGCATGCGCGAGAATTGCGATCTCCTTACACTACTTCAGTTCAGTTCTCGCGCATGCGTCATGGAAATCTAAGGAAGTCTCGTTTCTGGCCTACAAGGAAGTAAAGGAATTGTCGAATAAATTCGTTATTTTTGTTTGTTTTTTCGCACAAAAAGTATTCTCGTCGCTTGATAAACATATAGTTGAGCCACGGTAGTCACTTGGGATATTTAAACATTTTCTTCATTGACTTTCTGGGCCGTCAAGAGGCAGTCCCTTAGGAGCCAATGTGGTAGTTATACAGCTCTCCAATTTAATCAAAAATATCTTCATTTGTGTTCCGAAGACGAACCAAGGTCTTACGGGGTTGGTACAGCATGGGGGTGAGTAATTAATGACTTAATTTTCATTTTTGGGTGAACTAACCCTTTAAGCACCATAACTCTCTAAAAAAATATATTTTGGTAAGTTTTTTTTACTGTGTTGTTCCAATATACATATGACGTAAGTGATGCATCAAATAGTAACAGTAATGGTGCTGTACCTGAACATACTCAGCCCTTATTTGCTTCACCTGGGCATTGTTTCTCTCAAAAGGCACCAGGTAGATTTGTTTCATTGTTACCTGGTGCCTCTTTAAAAGGTGGCCTGCTGTTGGTAGGCTGATGGATTCCACATTGGCAAAGGTGTCATTGTTCTCCTCAATTGCCTGCTTTATTTCTGACAGCCGTATATCATTCCTGGGCCTCACCAGTTCCACCACTGCACACTCTTGCTGGTCGGTCAGCACACGGGCCACGACCACCACTATAGGGTAAAAAGCATAGAACAGAGTATACTGTCAATAAATCATACTGTACCAATACTGTAACATGTCTGATTAATTTACATGCATTACAATTTACTGTGAATGTATTAGTATATATCCTCCATACTTCCCGGTTTTCTTGGCCAAACCCTTGGTTTGGATGATAGAATTGACAGTTGATCTTTTTAGATTTGGATCAACTAATCTGGCAGCCTCTGCCATAGGGCCTCTGTTCACCACATGATCAATGATGATGGCCCCGATTTCATTAGAGACAACAGTTCTGCTTCCCTCTCTCTGATGACCAACCCTTTGAAGGGTCTCTGTTGGTGCCCATACCCACTGCTCTCTGACCTCTCTGTTGGAAACACACCATACCCAACATGCCTCATCAGAACGGGTCATATTTGTGGAATAATATGCAAAAAAGATCACCCTCATGTTGTTCCAACCCCGTAAGACCTTTGTTTATCTTCGGAACACAAATTAAGGTATTGTGATGAAATCTGAGAGCTGGATCACTCCACCATACTAGTCCATAGGCTTCTTGAGGGATTGAAACTTGCTGGCCTCGAAAAGTTATTAAAGACATCGTTAAAATAGTCCAAGTGACTACAGTAGCTCAATCTTAACTTTATCAAGCGAACAAAAACACCTTTTGTGCGCAAAAACAAACAGAAATAACGACTTTATTTCAACTATACATTTCCTTGTCTTTGGGCAGTTAGTCAGTTAACGTAGTGTGATGGGGTAGAGCTACGTCACACGTAGGCTCACTATTGGCCGACGCTGGTCATGTGCGTGATGCGTGTGACGTACAACAAAAGATCATACACTGTTAAACTAGTAACCTGACTCGAGGCCCAGAGAGAAGGGGATGAATAGTTGAAATAAAGTCGTTATTTTTGTTTGTTTTTTGCGCACAAAAAGTGTTCTCGTTGGTTGATAAACTTAAGATTGAACCACTGTAGTCACTTAGACTATTTTAACAATGTCTTTAACTTTTTGAGGGCGGCAAGTTTCGCCTATGGACTAGGAGTGATCCAGCTCTCAGATTTCATCAAAAATATCTTAATTTGTGTTCCGAAGATGAACGAAGGTCTTACGTGGTTGGAACAAAATGAGGGTGAGTAAATACTGACAGAATTTTCATTTTTGGGTGAACTAACCCTTTAACTACTGGTCATTAACATATCAAAGGTCTTCCCACCTAACGCCACAGTGTTTCAGCTGTGAATGACCATGAGATTCCTGTATATTTTCATGTAGCAGGGTATTTCTGGAAATTTGCTGTTCTGTGTAACTTAGCTCAGGTTTTTAAGCATACATCCAGCAAACGTGAAATTAAACATAAGTTTACCACGGTCAGATATGACCAGATTCGACCCTTTTCATGCAGTGAATTACTATGCAATGTAATGAATACAGGTGTTGGGTATAGGCCTCGTTCTGGAAAAAATCGGAGAAATCCCTTGTATTTGCATAATGAGGTGATCAGGTTATGTAACAGCAGTTCAGAAACTTGATTGTATCTGGTATGTACCCAGCAGAGAACAATGTCAAGCATTGCGATATTGGCTGTTTAGATGTGTCTTATGACTTATGAGTTGAATTCCTGCAAAAGAAGCTTGATAATAACCATTGAACTGGTCATGCTCACCTAGCTATCTCTTTAAGATAAAAAAAGAGAAGATTTTGCAGAAAATGCGGATTTCAATAATAAAAATTCATTACATTTATATAGCGCTTTTCTCTGCAATCAACTCGATTTGAAAAAAAAAAAAAATTATATAGAATAATAAAAACAAATTAATGGCACCATCACTCAATTTATGCAACATCAATTCCATATTTTTAGGTTAAAATGTACGTACTGTATAAATAAAGCAACATTTATGTTTTGTAACTGAGCACTATTTCACTATTACATTCTTAATCATAAAAATAGGATTTTCAGATTTTTTTCAGGCAGATTTTTTTTTTAAGTACAAATATGTAGTCTCTTATAAAATTATTTTAGAATAATTGAAAAATGTTGTTTAGCCTAGTTTTATCTTAGTCACCCTGCTGAAAGTTCAAGTCAACTACTTGTGTAGAGTCTAATGTTCAGGAACTGAAGGCGATTTGATTTATTCAGATGATTTATTCAAAAGAAGTGCCGTGTAGACCAAGAGAGACAAAGCAGAATAAACAGCTACACTTCACTGAAAGTCTCCTATTCTTACGTAACGTTTGCCCTGATTTTCTTGATTTTGACTGTCTGCACCGTCTTTATAAAAACTTCCAAAACTTCCCCCAAAAAGTCCAAAACTTCTGGTAGATGGTTAAAAGAAAAAAGCAAAGAAATCATCTCACCTGAGGGTGAATTGCAGTTGTCAAAGAAGATGATCTGAATTGTCTTTAGTCCAAGTGTAATTATAATTATGTCTAGTAAGACAAGTATGACCTCTTTAGAAAAAAAAAAGAAGTTAGACGCCAGATAAGATATTGATCAGTCTTGTCAGGTGAGTGTCAGCCACCCTGATTTCATTTCCAGAAGATAGACCTGCACCAGGTGAGCATGACACACCTCCAGATCCCCAGCTATAAATACAGCAGCACTAGAGCTTCACTCAACAGATCATCTCTTCTCATCTCTCCTACTTCACCATGGGGAACTTCGTTGACTGCTGCCGAGGTTTCTGGTGCGGGGCCAAGAACCCTAACGTCCGGATCAGCCTGCCTGGGGTCTGCTTCGTGTGGCAGATCGCCATGATCATCCTGTTCGGACTGTTTGTGCGTTACGATGAAGAATCGGATGCGCACTGGTCTGAGCACAGACGTGAGGAGAACATCACGAGCGACATTGAGAACGACTTCTACTACAGATACCCAAGTGAGTATTTGTGTTAAAATGCTGAGAAGGCCATTCAAATCAGTTTATAGGTCAAATTTGTATGAATAAAATAGTTTTGCTGAGCTCTCAGTAGGTTGAAGGTTACTGAAGTTTTCATCCATGAACCTTCTCGACCACTTTCCTCAGGTTTCCAGGATGTACATGTGATGATCTTTGTGGGTTTCGGCTTTCTCATGACCTTCATGAAGCGCTACAGCTTCGGCGGGGTGGGATTCAACTTTCTTATCGGTGCCTTTGGTCTGCAGTGGGCTCTACTCATGCAGGGCTGGTTCCACTTTCTGGACCCGGTTGACGGCAAAATCAAGATCGGGGTTGAGAAGTATGTTTTGCACCTCACTGTCTTCGAATAACTTGTTTTGATTCATTTATTTAAGGTCCTTGGTCACTCGTGCACATGTGTCATATAGTGGCATCAGAGGGCCGTTTAAATCACCATATTGCAAATGTGACTTTCTTGAACAATGCATCAGAAGATGGTGATTTGTGCGATACAGCTGATATTCATCATTTCCCATCTTGCTTTCACCAGTATCATCAATGCTGATTTCTGTGTGGCGGGATGTCTCATTGCATATGGAGCTCTCCTGGGAAAAGTCAGTCCCGTTCAACTGATGATCTTGACGCTATTTGGCATCACACTGTTTGCGGTTGAGGAATACATCATTCTTCATGTTCTTCATGTGAGTAGCAGTGTTATTTTAGAATTATTTATATACTCAGAGCTTTTATTGTTATACTTTATTATTTGGTTAATTAAAACTGAAACCATTTATAAAAAAATTTTGTTACTTGAAATAAAATAAACGTTAACCGAAATAAAAGAATATATATTTATATTAAACAATAACTTATTTTATTTCAGCTAGTTTTATAGGGACCATTTCTCATTTCCTTCTAGTTTAAGAATTAAAATAATTAAAAATAAAAAGAACTAAAAACTATATAGACTAAATTACTAAAACATAAAAAATAAAACTATTTTAATTATTCATTTCAATTATTACAGTCTATCAATGATACTAAAAATAATACTGTTTGCTATGTCCACTTGTATTTTTTTGACCATTTCGAATATTTTTTTTATTTCAGTTTTAGTTTGTTTGTGTAACGGATGTGAAAGGACACTCACAAATGGGATTCAGCTTCAGTTTATCTTTTTTTTTGGAAACAACAAGAAAGAAAAGTTACATTGTGGCTGATGACAGACTGCAGACATTCATATGGACCACAGCGTCGACACTTGAATCTGCTGTCAATAGTATTATTCACATTAAACACATAGTATTAATATACAATGTGAAAAACTTAACATAATACTCATAATAAGCACACCAATGTAAATGTACAGAATAGTTAATTGCAGACAACATCAGTAAATCTTCAATAATTGTCAAATAACATTTGTTAATAGAATAAACACGAAAGCAACATACCTTTTTTTTGGAAACAACAAGAAAGAAAAGTTACATTGTGGCTGATGACAGACTGCAGACATTCATATGGACCACAGCGTCGACACTTGAATCTGCTGTGGTACGGCAAGAGAAGAGCGACAAAATCAAATATCTGCAGTACCATTAATAGCCACAGGAGGGGAGCCTTCTAACACCAATGAATACACCCAAATGCCTTATTTTATGAAATTCACACAAAATTTTAAATCAAAGGTTCTTTTTAACCCTGTTACATCCACCCCCACTGAATTACATAAAATATATGCATGACCCAGGGAGCGTTCAACAACGGGGCACTTTTCTTTCATAATAATACACAATAAAAACCATCACATTTCGAAAGGAACTCCTTTAGAAGGAAAGTCAAAAAAACAATTATCCCTTAAGGACGAATTGATGAGAGAGTAGCGCTAAGCTCTCTCACCAGCTTCTGACAGCAGAACATCTACATACATTCCGCAATATCCTTCCATACTTCATTCACCATTAAATACCAAAACAAATTTAAGAATTCTCTCTTTTTTTTTTTTTTTAAGAGATACACAAGGTGTACTCAAAGATGTGAAGGCAACCCATTTCTAAAGGTATGTGCTTAATCTGAACTACTGCTTTTAGACTATAAAACAGCCGTAACACTATTTAAGACGATATGCCAACAGGCACGAAACTAGCAGTATTGTTCTAAATAGAGAAAGCCCTTAACACTGACTTGCAAACAGCTTGAACATTGTGTTTTGTATCCTGAACCACAGCCTGTGTAGACATTACATGTATTAATCTTTCAACAGGTCTAACGACCCGACCAAAACGTGTCCTAACCTGTGTGACTGAACTAGAACTTTGCGGTACATTCTCAGTGTCAGCTACGTTTGTGTTGGTAGGAGTTTGAGAGGGTGGCTGGGCAGACAGGACAGTCTCAGAACCAGATTCATGTGAATCTGAACCGCCGCTTGTGTCTCCATCAGAAACAGATGTTCTTACATCTCTTGACATGTCAGATAGATGGCTTTTTGGTGCAGAAGGGAAGGCCTCAGCTACAGGATCTACCAGAACTCCACTTGGAGTTTGTTCAGACTCATGTGATCCCTCATGCAGCCCCGAAACCCAGCTTAACGTTCTGTTTCTGGCATCAGATTCCTGAACTGACATAGAACCATCTTCACAATTGACATCGGCATAATCACATGAGGCTGTTGCTTTGCCTCTTGACATTACCGAATCATCCATTGTAACATTGCTGTAGCTATCCTCTGTATGCTCAGATACAACCGCATCTGCTCCTAAAGACTCATCCTCCACTGCACACAATGACAGGACTGAAGATGACCTCTGGCAAGAAGTGGATACACCAGAAAGTTGATCAGACTGAGGGTGCTCAACGTTCACTGGTAAGAAATTCACCAACATCAGCAAGTTTCGATGCACCACTTTTTCCTGACCTGTTGCTGGATTACGGATCCTGTAAGTATGAGTGTCTGGCTTACAATCCACAACAGTGTAAACAGTTGACTCCCACCTGTCAGCAACCTTCTTTTTACCCCTTTCAGTTTTATTCGCCAAGAGCACCTGGTCACCTTTTTCGATGAGTAGTCCTTTTACCCTTCGGTTGTACAACTCTGCATGTCTTTTCTGTTCTTTCATTGCATGCTCCTGTGCGATTTGTAATGCTTCTTTCAGATCTTTGACCAGAGTGGAAACGAACTTGTCACAGCAGGTCACATCTGGATCATTCAAGACAGAGCGAAACAGAATGTCTATGGGCAGACGGGGTACACGCCCGAACATCAGATAAAAAGGGGCGTATCCTGTCGTCTCATGGATTGTGCAATTATACAGAAATGTCAGTGTCTGCAACCGTCTCGGCCAATCTCTCTTCACATCTGGTGACAAAGCCCGAATCATATTTCCAAGGGTTCTATTAAAGCGCTCCACACTTCCATTACCCATAGGGTGATACGGTGTTGTGTGCGACTTGTTCACTCCAGAGACCTTTAGAAGCTCTCGGATTAATTTACTTTCAAAACTCGGACCCTGGTCGCTATGGATGCGTTCTGGCAGGCCGTAGATGCAAAAATACCTGTCCCAAATTATCCTGGCCACCTGTTTGGCAGATTGATCTCTACACACAAAGGCTTGTGCTAGTCTCGTAAAGTGATCAGTTATCACTAAAACGTCAACCGACTTGTTAGTAGAGTCTTCAGCTGACCAGAAGTCTATGCAGACAAGCTGTAATGGTCTACTTGTTGAAATGTTCTCCAGGGGTGCTCTGCCAGAAGGATCAATGGTATTGCTCACAGTGCAGCGGTGACACAAGCGCACATAATCCCTCACATTTCGCTCCATGTTCAGCCAAAAGAAGCGCTGCCTTGCAAGGCTCATACTCCGCGACTGACCTTGATGACCACAGTCGTCATGGATTCCTTTCAAGATCACACTCACTAAAGACTCGGGGACCACGAACTGAAAGCGTTTCTTCCTTGATAGTTGGTCACAGGACACTCTGTACAAGATACCACTTCTGACAACAAATTTCTCCCAGTGCCTCAGGTATCGAAGGACACACATTGATTCCTTTGACCTCTCTCTTCTTGAAGGCCTACGCTGGCGTTCAACATAATACAAGACTCTTGACAAAATTTTGTCTGTGAGCTGTTTTTCACGCAGCTCCTGTTCTGAATATGTTGGCAATGTGTCTTGCCCTTCTGACATCAACTGAGGTAAGTGATCAATGACAGACATTGCTCGTGCTCTGGCACCGATGTTCCACTCAACATGTGAGTCCAATATGGCAGAGACATCTGCATTTGAGACAGTTAGAAGCTCTTTGGTCTGCTTTATGTCTGGACTGCATGACTGGCCTAGATTAATGACACTCGGCCTCCTATCTGAATCACAGGAACGTCTGAATGCATCTTGCACAGAATCTGTAGACATCCCTTTAGAACCACCCAATAGTGCTCCATATGGCTCTTCAAGCAGTCTCTGCGTGACACCAGTTTTGACAAATGGAACCCTGCTCAGGGCATCAGCGACTATGTTCTGGGGACCAGGCACATACTTTATGTCAAAGTTGTAGCTAGCCAACTTAGCCACCCAGCGTTGTTCGCAGCAATCAAGTTTGGGTTTTGTAAGTATATGAGCCAAAGGATTATTGTCAGTCAAGACAGTGAATTCATGTCCTTTGAGCCAATGACTGAATTTATCACATACTGACCATTTTAAGGCCAAAAACTCCAATCGATGTGCTGGATAATTTTGCTGCGACCGAGAAAGGGACTTACTGGCGAAGGCTACAGGCCTGGCTTTTGTCTCTCCCTCTGTGACCTGAGAGAGCACAGCTCCAATACCGTCTAAGGAGGCATCCGTTGCCAGTATGAAAGGGCGGTCAAAATCTGGATGGGCAAGAACGACACTCTCAACCAATGCTGTTTTCAGCCGCTCGACTGCCTGGTCCTGCGCTTGTGTCCAGTCACTAGATTTCAGCTTCCTGGTCTGACGAGCATGACCCAGCTTCCTCAGATTTCTTGCTGTCGTCTTTTGACCCTTCAGAAGATTAAAAAGTGGCTTGGCTACAGCTGAATAGTTTGGAACAAAGTGCTGGTAGTAATTCACCATTCCCAAAAATGATCTAATCTTCTTCTGAGAAGGCGTTGTCCCATCAAGCTCCATCAAATCTAAACTGTTTATCTTAGAGATGCTTTCAACTTTACTTGGGTCCGTAGAGACACCCGTCTGATCAATCATATGCCCAAGGAACTTCACTGATTTCCTCATCAGGTGACACTTCTTTGGAGCCAGCTTAAGATTGTGTGTGCGAAGCCTGCCAAACACCATCTCCAAGCGATCAATAGCGGTTTTCTCATCTGGGCCGAAGACAATCAAATCGTCTAGATAACACAGAAGACTGAGAAAGTTTTCATCCCCAAATATGTTGGTCATCATTCTCATGAAGCTGCCAGGACTGTTGCAGAGACCTTGGGGTAATCGATTGTATTCGAAAAGGCCCATTGGTGTAGTAAAGGCAGTAAACTTGCGGTCCTCCTCATGCAGTGGCATATTATAAAATCCCGATGTCAAATCCATCGTGCTAAATAGGGCATTACCGCCAAGTGCTGCCAAGCAATCCGCTTGGTGAGGAAGAGGGTGTGCGTCCTTCAGCGTTCTCCTGTTCAGCCAACGGAAGTCGGTGCACACACGCAGGTCTCCATTCTTCTTCCAGACCAAAACGAGAGGAGACGCGTACTCGCTGGTGGATCGCCGAATTATCTCCTTCTCCTCCATTTCAGACAACACCTGTCGCAGTTTTTGGTATTGGCTGGGTGCTACTCTTCTGAACGGAAGCCTGAAGGGTCTGGTGTCCGAGAGGTGTATTCTATGGACAAAACCCCTTGCTTTTCCACAATCAAGATGGTCACGTGAAAAGATGTCTTCGTAACTCAGTAGTAGGTTCTGCAACCGTTGCTTGCAGGCATCCGAGATATCACACGCGTCAACGTCAAGACTGTCCAAACCAACTGACTTCAGTCGCTCTTCCACAGGTGACATGTCGGCCACATCAGACAAACTAGTGGGGCAATTCACCAGAAAAGGATTGACTGCACTGGTGTGATCAAGATCTTCAAGCGCAATGCATGGATAAAGATCTGCAATTTTTGCATTCCGTCTCAATAGTACTGGACTACCTGATGTGTTGATAAGTTTCAAGGGGACCCATCCATCTTTCCACAGAGATGTGATTAGTCTAGCCACCATAACACCTCTGGGAGCTGAGTGAGAAGATGTAGGTTCAGTCATGACTGCACTTCCCGGGGACACAACAGCGGATTTGGGCAGCTTCCCCCATACTAAATACTCACGACCCGGCTCTAGCTGGACAGCTGAATTGCATCTGACTGTTCCTATCTTCCCAGGAATCTCGTCTCCTCTCCAGCGGTCCAATCCGGCAAGCATCGACAAGAAACTTTCACACTCAGGGTCTGCTGAAGTTGGACTAGACAGAGCTTGCCAATATCCATCGCATAATTTGAAGTATCTCATAATGTGTTTAATGACATTAGTCCCAATTATCAGTTCATCATGTTGTCCGGGAACCACTAAGGTGGGAACTGCCATCTTTATACCATAAACTTCCATGGTAACATTGAACGATGATTTAGGCTTCACACGCAGCCCTCCGCAGCCTACAAGGGTGACATCAGTTTTGAACTCACTGGATTCATCCACTGCGCCAGCCGATCTCAGTTTCATCTCAGCAGACTCATTTATAGTGCAGGCCATCGAACCACTGTCCAGCATTGCATTTAATGTCACTGTGTCTCCAATCTTCACTGGTGTATAAAATAGGCTGTCACATCCGCCGACAATGTGTGTGTTCTGATAAATGACTTCTGAATGATCAAGACTTCCTTTGGCTAAAAGGTATGTATTCTCAGACTCACAGTCATCAATGGCTTGGGAGTTACAATGAAGACCCGCACTGTCTCCCTCTGAATACGGGTCTGCTAGTTTCCCTCATGTTGTGTCTGGGCAGAGGAGAGTTTAGGACAGTCCTTCTTTGCGTGCCCAGGGGAGAAGCATGCAAAACACAGTTTGTCTGTCATGCAGTGCGTCACTGTGGTGTGTTTGCTGTCATTACAAACTCGACAGGCACTTCTGACAAAACTGCGCTGCTGTCTAGCACCATGCCTTTGGTTGGAAACATCACGAAACTGCACCCTGCCCATGAGCTGCTCCATCATCTCCATCATTCGAGTGAGCAACTGACTCTCAGCCTGTTGTGTTTGTTGAGACATCACTGGAGCCGGAGTTGAGCAGGATGAGGGCTTATGCTGTGCCAGATTGGGTGCTGGCGTAGGCTCTGACTGGCGACATGCCTGACTATCAGGCGTGGAACTGAATGATTGGACAGGAACAGAGGGTGACTCAGTTTTAGGGCAATCGTACATAACATGTTCGCTGTTGAGCACTGCAGTTGTGTGGCTCCGTAGATTCGCTGTACTATTTCCCCGGCTTCTAAAGTCCCTTTGGTAATCATCAATCCTGCTCTGTATTTCTTTTGCACTCCATTCTTGAACAGGCTTGCATCTGAACATACTCGCCAAACTGGGGTCAGGACAGAATTTAACAAACATCCGTGTCACCTCTTCTCCTATGTTGTCGAAACTTTTGCCTTGTCTTCGCAGTCCCTCATCTGCCAGATCAGCCGCCTTGTTAATTCGAATCCAGTAGTCCACAGGATTCTCTTTGGCTCTGGGGAGAGTGGCATAGAAATCTGCGAGTGGCAGGCAAGAGGTAGATTCACTGAAGTACTGCATGAGAATGCCATAAATTAACTTAGGTTCCTGCCTGACGTTGAGCGTATCATCACTGCGAAGGCTGACTTTGACAACATCTCTTGCCTTTCCAGCTAGTCTGCTCATGATCTCTTCGGCTTGCTCATGAACAGGGCACTTTTGCTTTCTTAAGTAAGCTTTTGTCCTGTCCACCCACTCCTCAATGCCATACTTGTCAGAGCCATCGCCCCTAAATGAGTCATGTTCAGACTTCATGTGCACTGTAACTTGTGGTGCCATCATTTGTGTATGTGTACACTGTTCTGCACGTGCAGGTGTCTGATTGTAACTGAGTGAATTGGTTTGGCAATCGGCATGTGCATTAACTAAGCCAGCAGACACTAGTTTTGCAACTATTGACTCGCCAATTTGCGAACCTAACTGGCCTACCATGTCTGTGAGGTGGTCAAAAGCGACTCTATCAACACCAGGTGTCGAGGTGTATGGGCCCTCACCAGAAACCCGACCAACAGGAGTACCACCCGGGAACTGACTCAACCCAATACCCCTACTATTGTCATCATATAACTGTGGTCGTCCAACCCCCCGATTGACGTCTTCGCTGAAAGTACCACCCTCGGCGCTGCTCAGCAACCATGTACCCCTACCTCTAGGGAAACCCATGTTACCACAACATGATGCATCTAAATCACCAACATATTCAGGTTTCTCAGCCATAATGAAATCAAAAGTTGTGCCTGAAAAATGTTATTATGATTTTTCTAAATAAAACAAGAGAAATATCGACAATATTGATTTTGAGAAAACTCACTACTTGGAATTATATTTTGATTGCAATGACAGTCAAATCAGAACTACATTCCATGTGTCCATGCGTTGTGTATGTAATAACTAATGTACAGTCCCAATGACAGTCCCAGTGTGTGAGTGTTTTTATACTGTCCTCATCCAAAGCATTGAAGACTTGACCCTACTGACGAACTTGACCTGCTCCCAGCAATGAAGACTTGAACCACCGATGAACTCGATCTGCACACAGCAATCACGGTCGATCTTCATCAAGCTGATCAAGGGATCCACGGAGTCACGGCACCAGTGTAACGGATGTGAAAGGACACTCACAAATGGGATTCAGCTTCAGTTTATCTTTTTTTTTGGAAACAACAAGAAAGAAAAGTTACATTGTGGCTGATGACAGACTGCAGACATTCATATGGACCACAGCGTCGACACTTGAATCTGCTGTCAATAGTATTATTCACATTAAACACATAGTATTAATATACAATGTGAAAAACTTAACATAATACTCATAATAAGCACACCAATGTAAATGTACAGAATAGTTAATTGCAGACAACATCAGTAAATCTTCAATAATTGTCAAATAACATTTGTTAATAGAATAAACACGAAAGCAACATACCTTTTTTTTGGAAACAACAAGAAAGAAAAGTTACATTGTGGCTGATGACAGACTGCAGACATTCATATGGACCACAGCGTCGACACTTGAATCTGCTGTGGTACGGCAAGAGAAGAGCGACAAAATCAAATATCTGCAGTACCATTAATAGCCACAGGAGGGGAGCCTTCTAACACCAATGAATACACCCAAATGCCTTATTTTATGAAATTCACACAAAATTTTAAATCAAAGGTTCTTTTTAACCCTGTTACATCTGCTGTTATTAATTTGAGTGCTTTGAATTAAACAAAATGTGTTTTTCATCTGATACAAATATTTTATTTCAGCTTTATTTCAATTAAATGGATAGTTCACCCAACAATGAAAATGCTGTCATCCTCAAGTTGTTCCAAACCTGCATGAGTTTCTTTCTTCTGCTGAACACAAAAGAAGATATTTAGAACAATATGAGTAACCAAATAGTTGATGGGCCCCATTGACTTCATAGTATGGGGAAAAAATACCACGGAAGTCAATAGCTACCGTCAAGTCTGGTTGCAAGAGAAGAAAGAAACTCAAACAGGTTTGGAACAACTTGAGGCTGCAGTAAATAACGATTTATATTAGGGGGGGGGGGGGACTAACCCTTCAACAAAAATAGTTTTAGTTCTTGATGATAACCCTGGTGAGTACCATCATCCTGAATATGTCTGCCTAGATCGAAAGATTTTATTAAACTGTTCTTGCGTTTCACAGGTTCGTGACGCTGGCGGATCCATGGTCATCCACACTTTCGGAGGCTACTACGGTCTGACAATATCATGGATTCTTTACCGACCGAAGCTCGACCAAAGCAAGCATCTGGGCAGCTCTGTCTACCACTCTGATGTCTTTGCTATGATCGGTATGTTATGACTGAGTCCTTTTCATTAGTTACGCACCCTTGATAAGATCTGACATGAGCCGCTTTCAAAAAATCCAGTCCTTTATCTGAAGACGTTTCCTCTTACAGGGACCCTCTTCCTCTGGATGTTCTGGCCCAGTTTCAACTCTGCCATCTCAGATCATGGCGATGGTCAACACCGGGCGGCCATAAACACATACCTTGCTCTGGCTTCCTCTGTACTGACTACATTTGCCATTTCCAGCCTTTCTGCCAAGAAGGGAAAACTGGACATGGTAAGTTACAGCACTTCATAATGTCACAATTACATCTGCAGTCTCCTATCTGTGTTTCGTAATATTTCACCTTATTTATTTTTATTTATTTTTTGCAACATAGGTACATATCCAGAATGCAACTCTGGCTGGGGGCGTCGCGATGGGGTCAGCTGCCGAGTTCATGATCTCGCCCTACGGTTCTCTCATCGTGGGCTTCGTGTGTGGGATCCTTTCCACGTTCGGCTACCTGGTGCTCTCTGTGAGTGTGACAGAAGAGCAGATTTGAAACATAATTTGCGCTGTGGGAATAGATTCATTTATACCTGTCCCCCCCCCCCCCCCACCACCACCCCTCTCTCCATGCAGCCCTTTATGGAGAAGTACCTGAAGATCCAAGACACCTGTGGCATCCACAACCTGCATGCCATGCCCGGTGTCCTCGGAGGAGTTATAGGTGCCATCACAGCGGCTGCTGCCAGTGAGAGTGTCTATGGACGCGAAGGGTGAGTTTCAGGCAGCTTCACATTAAAGGTGCACCATCTAGCACTTTGCACAAAACTGTGTGCACTTTGCAGAAGAACATTGTTTTGGTAGTGCTTAAGCAGTGTGTGGATGAAAATAGTTATTTCTCATAACTAAATGAGAGGGAGAGATTATCCTACTGCTAATAAAACATTCACAGCTGGGCTTAAAGGAGTAGTCCACTATATATAAAAAAAAGTTTTGCTGATAGTTTACTCACCCCCATGTCATCCAAGATGTCCATGTCATTCTTTCTTCAGTCGAAAAAAAATTAAGGTTTTTGATGAAAACATTCCAGGATTTTTTTTCCATATAATGGACTTCATTGGGTACCAGATGGTTCAAGGTCCAAAAGACAGTTTCAAAGGGCTTTAAACAACACCAGACGATAAATAAGTGTCTTATCTAGCGAAACGATCAGTAATTTAAAAAATAACAAAGTTTTATAAGCACAAATGCACGACTTGCTCTGTTCTGTGATGCGGGTTCGTGACTCTCCTGTTCGAACTCGTTCATCAAAATGAACGAATCTTTTTTGAGTCATTTCGTTCGTTGAATGAACCAAATGACTCGAAAAAATATTCGTTCGTTTTGATGAACGAGTTCGAACAGGAAAGAAAGACATGGACATCTTGGATGACATGGGGGTGAGTAAATTATCAGCAAAAGTTTTTTTTAAAAGTGAACTACTCCTTTAAAGCAGCTCTATGCAGTTTTTTTTTTACCTTAACTGAATAGCTTCGGAGTTATTGCAATGGTCATATGACTATTTTCGGGTTGAATTTTGTGCGTCTTGTGATATCAGGTCTCGCGATGTAACGAATTGGTTTACGGCAAGAAAGATCTGCTAAAATAAACAGCAAACAGAAATAACCTGGCGCCGTATACATGCGGTGTTCGAGGCGCATACAATACAGACTGCCGACAGTTTAACAGGGCGCAGCTCTTAAAGGGGCCACACCTTATTTCCACTCGTTACAGCTTCCATCCGACTGAACAGGTACCGGTATACAGGGGGAGGGGATCAGGCCGTGAGTGCAGAGACATCTCTGCGTGAGTGCTATTTACGACAGTACAAGTACTCCACAGCAACTCTAGGGGTCACAGTTTGACAAAAAACGGGAATCCTGCAAAGTGCTGCTTTAAGTGATGTAACCAGTTTAGATGGAAAGGATCTCAAACTGACTGCTGAAGACGTTACTGTAGCTTTACCCAACCCGATCTTCCGGCAATTTGCACAAATTAGCCACCTTTTACTCACTCGTTCGAATTGGTCGTGCATAGCTTTGCTTTTGAATTTTTAGCAACTTTTCTCTATTCACGGACATGACGCAAAGGCGATTGACATTCATTCATTCATATATTTATTAAGCACCGATAAACACAACAGCAGTTGAACCATAGTGCTGTACAAATAAGACGAACAATGACAATACAAAAACAATACAAAATAAAATCAGCAAAATTAACATACAAAAATTAAAAAGCCAAAGTACAAAAAATGAGATTTTAATTTAGATTTAAACTCATATGTACGCAATTTCCCGTGAAAACCATCCTGCCCTGTCTAAAATATAGACACTTATAATAGCCTTACCATAGTGAATCAGGGTAAGACACAAACACGTTCTGGATAAAGGATTGATGATATTATTATTTCAATTTTGTTAATTTTGAACAAAAAAGTTACATTTTGTAACTGTTTTAATATAGTTGTCAATCATGAAATGACTCCGTTTCAGCTGTAAAGCGGCTCTTCTCAAGGCAATAGTGTCCTTCTGCAGCTCTGTGTTGTTTCAAATCAGTTTTATAAGTATCAGCGTTGCACAGTTCATCAATTATGAAACAAGGTCAGTTTAGCTTCAGCTCTACAGTCGCAATAGTGTCATTATTGAGAAATTCAGATTCAGTTTACTTCAATGTTGAAAAGATGTTTCATCGTCCAGTTCAAATTTTGTTCTTATCCAAAAGCATCAGTGCACTTAAAGGGTTAGTTCACCCAAAAATGAAAATTAAGTCATTAATTACTCACCCCCATGCTGTACCAACCCCGTAAGACCTTCGTTCATCTTCGGAACACAAATAAAGATATTTTTGATTGAATCTGAGGGCTGGATCACTTTTCCATAGACAGCCTGAGGGACTGGCTCTTGACGGCCCAGAAAGTCATTAAAAGAAAAGGTTTAAATATTCCATGTGCCTACAGCGGCTCAATTATAAGTTTATCAAGCGACGAGACTACTTTTTGTGCGAAAAAAAAACGTAAATAACGACTTTATTCGACTTTCCATTACTTCCTTATGGGCGCATGCGCGAGAACTGAGACGAGACCGCTCTTCTTCGACTACTTTTTGTTACCGGCTGCTCACCGCTTAGGAGTTTTACCGCCCCCTACCGTATAAGATGACGTACTGATATAGCCGGAGGCGCAAAACGTTCTGTTTACAAGCAGTACGTCATCTTATACGGTAGGGGGCGGTAAAACTCCTAAGCGGTGAGCAGCCGGTAACAAAAAGTAGTCGAAGAAGAGCGGTCTCGTCTCAGTTCTCGCGCATGCGCCCATAAGGAAGTAATGGAAAGTCGAATAAAGTCGTTATTTACGTTTTTTTTTCGCACAAAAAGTAGTCTCGTCGCTTGATAAACTTATAATTGAGCCGCTGTAGGCACATGGAATATTTAAACCTTTTCTTTTAATGACTTTCTGGGCCGTCAAGAGCCAGTCCCTCAGGCTGTCTATGGAAAAGTGATCCAGCCCTCAGATTCAATCAAAAATATCTTTATTTGTGTTCCGAAGATGAACGAAGGTCTTACGGGGTTGGTACAGCATGGGGGTGAGTAATTAATGACTTAATTTTCATTTTTGGGTGAACTAACCCTTTAAATTGATAATATTACTGAATGTTGATTGTCTTTTTGAATAGTAAAAGTGTGTATATGTTGTTGATACAAATCCTTGTCTTTTTCAGGTTGATAAACACCTTTAATTTTGAAGGGAAGTATGCTAAAAGGACACCTGCCACGCAAGGAGGCTACCAGGCAGCTGGTATTTGTGTTGCTCTCGTTTTTGGAATCGTAGGTGGAATTGTAGTAGGTGAGCATAAAAAAAACAAAACAAAAAACATATACTGAAATACTATCAATCCACACGTAAGAATATAAAATGTAGCAGCTGCACACAATGTAATATAAATATAGGCTATGTCAGTGTTATTTTTGGTTTCATTTAATTAGTATCCAACCCTAACCCTGTGTATATATATATATTTATATAATTGCAGTTATTGTTTATTTTATTCCAAATAATACATACATTTTCGTATGGTTTTAGTTAACAATAATAACCCTGGTATAATGTATATACAGGTTGCATCCTGAGACTGCCATTCTGGGGAGACCCAGCAGATGATAACTGCTTTGATGATGAGGTGTACTGGGAGGTGAGTTTGAATATCTATTTAATAGTTGCACAGCAATAGGTCTAGGTGGCACTATAGAACTCAAATGAGAATATAATTATATATAAATGTGACAAGTAGCCCGGTTTCTTCTATGCAGTGTGAAGGTCTGAGTTGTGTTTTTTTTTTAAAAGAAAATCATTCTTTTACAGGTGCCTGAAGATGAGGAGAGCATCCCTCCCATTCTAGAATACAACAGCCACATGGTTGGCAAAATGTAAGGATGTACTCCTAGATTCTCTTGATGTTATGCAAAGTATATGACACTATTGTAACTATTTATATATTGAATATACAATGATTCAAAATATCACATTTTAGTAATTTTATTTAGTTTAAATTATCTAAATTAGAATTGAACTTTGAAGTGCTTGTTGCATTCTAATACATCACCACGAGATGGCAGTACACTCCGGATAATAGAGTTTCAGCTTAGTAGTCCACATTTAAGCAAAATGATGTCAGATTGACAGTTTTACTTTTTTTGTTTAACTATTTAGCTACCTATTTTTGAATGAAGGGATTTTTTTTTAAAGTCTTAAATATGTATTTTATTTTTTTCATCTTTCAGGTCAGATACTAACTTCTCTGTGGAACAAAGCTAATGCAATGAAGGAATCCACAATGTCTTTATGACACAAGAAGCAGCACCTGATCACATCATATTTGAAAAAACAAAAAAAAACAAATTCAATACTAATTAAGGGACAGAAAGAATGTTCAGTCCAAGTCTGAAGAGAATCCCTGTTAAACCTTTTGGAGTTATTGGCCTTTAAGTCTACAAAGGTCAGCTGCTCAGCTCTTAGTTCAATTTCAAGTCTGTGTGTTTTACAGTCCTCAAATTGATTTAATCAATATTTCTGAAACGAATGCATATATATATTTCAGAATTACTGTAGAACTATAGTTCTAAACTTAAAGTATATCATGTTTATGTTTCAATCATTCTATAAAAGAATGAATTAATATTTACTGTACTTTATTGTTTTCTGTGTTAATGAATTGACTATACTATTAGAATTTTGATATGATGAATGTGTTGGTTATTTATCTATAATTATTTTCAAATGTGTACAGTGATGTGATATTGCTTCTTTGTATTTAGACTATTATATTTGAAGAAATTAGAACTTTTGAGAGTTCAGTGTGTCTGCAGACTGTCATCAGTCTGAAGAATGATAGTAATATTATTATTTTTTAATTTTTTAATTATAATGCTTTATATTCTTAGTTATTTTAAATGTAATATTAAAAAAATAAAAAGGCAATATTACAATCTTCAACTCAATGACTTTCCATTGGTGTTCTTTGCTAAAATGTTTGTTTGTTTGTTTGTTTGTTTGTTTGTTTGTTTAATTAACATTTTGGGAACGACAATACTATGCTACTTATAATTTAAACTGTTGCTTTAATTCTTTCGAATATAAATTAAGGCAACTGTGCATCTTCATTTTCTGCCAAACGTCATTTGAAACTAGCCTGCTACTTCGGGGATTATCACGCTTCCGGATGGGCGGGATTTGTCAACTTTGTGCATGTCCACTTCCGACCACTGTCTATGCTTCCGAGTCCGACCCTATGCTTCCGACGCAGTTCAACAATGGCTGAGACGAAGGATATATAGGCTATGTCACTGCTCTGTTCCACTTTGTAAATCTAACCAACAACGCCAACCCTACGTAAGTTTTCATCGATTCCCGACTGAATTGAGTATAAGGAAGAAGTGATTACAACTTTAAAATAAAACAAGGTAACTTTAGCACGTTTGTTTGCAGCCAGCACTTTAGTGAATCAGACTAATTTACCAGGGATGCCGTAGCCTATAAATAAACTTAGTGTAGTCCGTCATCAGTTCGCCAGAGTCAAAGAGTATAGAAGAACAAGAGGCGAAACTCTGATGCGTTTTTGGTAACAGTCACTAGATGGCGCTTCGGTAGCGCGGCAGCCATATCGGGGTGAAAATTCCAACTGGAGTTACTGGACAACAGCACAGATAAGAAATATATTTTGGACGTTTTAATCCCCTGGATCATGCTGTACATGATGATCATTGATGCGCTGTGTACGTTGGCCTATAACTAATTGCCACTTTGGACATTGGCTGTGTTTTTTTGTTTGTTTACATGGTCTTGCGTCATTAATATAAGATAAAAAAAAAAAAAAAAAAAAAAAAAAACTGTTTACTGTAAAGCTATTCTATTGCTGTTATATATTTATTGTTAAACATTTACATTTTAGTAAAACATTTATTTGCTGAATTTATTTCATTGATAACTTATTTATTTTTGTAAGTAACGTTATGTGTAGGCCTACCTCCCGGGAAACGGTCTATGCTATTATAACTTTATGAACTGATATCACTTTATTATTACCTGTCACACTTAATGTGGAGAGTAATATAATGAATTAAATCCTTAAGTAGCAACTTCTGTTTTAACTGCTATAAAGTTAACTGTTGTGAGTTAAATAATCACCTAGCCTAATTATTTCAACCTAAAAATGATCTCTGCACTGGACTAAATATATGTATATTATATGACTGCCGTGTCGCTTTCACCCCGAAATGGCGGAAGCGTATAGGGCTGCTGCTGGGCGCTGGTGTCACTTCACTTCTTGTCAATATACGAAGAGTTCAGATGCAAAAGCCTCTAAGTGCCATTTGAAATTTTCTTCTAAAATGATCATTTTTATCAAGCTTGTATATTTAAGTTCAGTAATTTCACTTAAATGGCAATGAAGATTACCTATTAATTGTCATTTAAGTGAAATTACTGAACTTAAATATACAAGCTTGATAAAAATGGTCATTTTAGAAGAAAATTTCAAATGGCATTTAGAGGCTTTTGCATCTGAACTCTTCATACGTTCTTTGCCAGAGTGATCGGTGATTCAACGGAAGTGGCAGTGCACAAAGATCACTGAATCCGGAAGTCCTACCATAGAATGGTCCTACGTATCATTTGTCATGTGACATACGCAATGAAGAGATCGTTCATGATTCACATCTGGGACTAATGCAGCAGGATGTCGAAACGAAATATGGATGATTGTTGTTATTATTATGATAATAATAATAATATGATAACAAGAACGCGCCACCGACGTTCTTGTCATGGCCGTAAAAGACAGAAAAGTGACGTTGAGTGGGGGTAAGTTATACTTGTAGTTGTTATGGCCAAACAGGTCTGATCTGTCATTACTACAATTAGCCTGAAAAAATTGGGTAGCCTAAATGTGTAAGCTTGAAGTGTTAATATTTTTCCTTGTTAATGTATGATTTGCAAAAATAAAAACGACTGCATCTGTTTTGATGAGAGAATCAAAGTGTATGCGGCCACATAATGGCCAAGCATGCTGGTTGTTGCTGGTATAGGCTACGTTGCAAATAGAGGGGCAGCAAAATTGTTTTTCGCCTAGAGCGGCAGAAGTGCACTCACCGGTCCCACTTGATGATGCAAGCGAAATACCGGAGTGAACACATAGACAGTAAAAAGATTGAACATGGCTGTAAACTACTTTTTCTTCAGTTTGAAAAACCCCGGAATGTTCTCCATAACAGAGCGAATTGCATCCCGTGTCTCGTTTCTCATTTCTGCGGTCGTTTCCAATAGATATCATATAGAGACTAGATGCCCGCCATCTTGAACCGGTCGTATTCCTAGTTTCGGTGGGTGGCAGCAGATGAGATAGCAGAGCATTGTGGAGCATTTTCCTGTTCTAATCGCCGGACCACGGGACCACCGAAAATAGGGATTTTCACAAGTAAGTCTTAACATTACCGTACTATTGGTTGTATTTTGTGAATAGAATATTACCTGATTATCGAGCAGGAGCAAGGATATTTGCTAGTGTACTGAAATCGTTGTGAAATGTTGTTTACTGCATCAGCCGGTGTTCACCCGGCATGCATGGAGTGAACACCGGTAACTGTTAAAGTAATAATTACAGGAGCTTCTAGGTAGGCCTAATCAGATAAGCATTCAACTGCCCTGTTGTATAGGTTATTTAGCCTAATTGTGTGCGCACATGGATCGGGAAGCAATGTAACACACGCATGACAGCGATGCGCAAATTCAGTTAACGTTACCCCTCCAACTTTTAGGTTTATTGATAATCTATCTTATCACATGTGATTTGGCTATTGATATTACAGAAGTCCTGTGGTAAAATTACATTATTAACTTACTCCATCTACCCTTGTAAAGCTAATCCGAATAGGGCTTTAGTCTCGACATTTCCCCCTCCCACACCACATACAATAAAATAGGTAACGTCATAGGCTTAATGTTGTCCGAATTTAATTTTTAGAAATTACTGATGAAATCACGTTGAAAATCTTCTTCTCAATTTTTATTACAGGTGGCTCTGCGTGTGTGTGTGTTTGTGTGTGTGTGTGTGTGTGAGAGTGAGAGAGAGAGAGAGAGAGAGAGAGAGAGAGTGAGAGTGTGTGTCTGTCTGTTAGTATGTCTGTTTGTGTGTCTGTGCGTGTGTCTGTTTGTGTGTATGTGCATGTCACAAATCATAAATTGTTTCTTCAACTTATTAAAATATCTTACTTTACTGTAACTATCTGTTTCTGCTTCTTTATTATAATAAAACAAATATATAAAATTATTAAAAAAATATATAAATTATTAAAAAAATGTATTAGATTTAAAAAATACATTATATCCTTCTTCATCACACATATTGTGTCTGGTCACTTTATATCTTATATATCAGAATATTATATTACTGTTAAACCTACAATGTATATTAAAATACTCTGAATGTGTCCTGTATCATAGCTGCATGAATGACCTTTGCAGCAAAAAAAAAAAAAAAAAAAAAAAAACGCGTGAAAATCAGTTCAGTATTCAGTGAGATATGATTAATTTAATGCGCTGACAGCTCATTTCACCTGCCATTCAGATTACACTGAGCGGAGCGGATGACCGGTTTAAGATGGCGGCTCCAATTCTCGTCTGTGCCAATAGTAGCGGTCTATAGGGCGTCTCTACCTATATGATGTCTATGGTCATTTCGGTTTTCGATTTCACCTACAATGTGAAATTCGGCGCTTAGCGTCTACGTCACGGCTCTCAGCCCGCCCTCTGTTCGTTGATTGGCCGGCTGTTTTCAGACCGGTGGAAAACTGAAAGATAGGCTGCTGCTATCTCAGACTGACTACAGGAGCGAAATGAAATTAGCGGAAGTAGGAAGTCTGACGTAGTCAGGCTAATTTGAAACCTCTTCTTTGACCAAATCACTTGTTTTTGAGTGTTTTAGTGTGCCCTATCTACTTTTTCTAATATTACCTTTCACGCAGTATGTAATAGCTGATTGTGAATGTAAAACGTCTGCAGTTATTATCTCTTGAATCGATTTTGAACAGCTGAAACAAGTCCTCTGCAAATCCTGTCTCACTTCCTGTTACAAACCTTTGCAATAGCAAATAACTGCCGAAATTATGACGTCACTTTGTAGGCCAAAACGCGGAAGTGAGTTAGCATTTTAGCACGTCCAGTTCCCTCACCCTAAAGTTTATGGGCTTTTTGAATGGGTTTTTTTGCTAAATCGCCTGAAATAAGGTCTGTGGTGAACAAAGCCTCTAAATATTTTCACGTTTTGATCTATGACATAAAACACACCCGTTATAGCCTGCTTGTATTTTTTTTAAACTTTATTGTGTCTGCTTGTGTTT